AGTAAGCGGTTTCTTGAGAGTCTTGTTTGCCTAGAGGTTAAGGTGCCCGCTTCTCATGCGTGCTTGTTCGAAACATAGCAAGTACTACCATGTTAACGGTTTAGGTAATTAATTAATTATTATGTTTTCGGCTTACTCACGTAATAATTTGACAATAATTTGATAATAATTTGACGAAATACTCGACTAAACTAGTCGAGTATTTCGTCAAATTATTACGTCATACAAGCCATGCTAGAGGCCCATATATTCATGAGCAGCATTAATAGCAGCGCGACAGTCGCCGAGTCGCGTGTCGCGGAACGCTGCTCATGAATACGGGCGTCTTAAATTAGTACGTGAGTAAGCCGAAAACATAATAATTAATTTAAAATATCTCACGAAAGTTATAATAAAAATTAATTAAGTAATTGTAAGAATTCTTGGCATGACTTCTTATTTCAATGTTGTATATATGCAAAAGAAAAAAATACAATCAGGAAATTGCTCAAAATCGATGTAAGCGGACTGTCTATTGTCCTTAAGGTTATTTTCTTTATATATTTCTCTGAATTAATATTAGTGTTACACTTTTCTCACATAATTGAACCAACGGTTTGTACAAGGAATCTGTATGTGAAACTAACTTAAAGATAGTAACCATGGAGTTACTTGCTCGTTCTTCTCCATCGGAATCTACACTTTGAAACGAGCAAATAGCTTCTCTGAGAGGACTGACCGACATCTTTAAAACTATCTGTCTAATGGGTATAAACGATTTTTGTTTTTTTTTTGGAAACTAAATTTAAATAATCTTTTTATGTATTTTATACGACATCTTTAACATTAAAAGACATACCACCTTTTACTTAACCACCCAAACTGAGACTGTACCTACATTTTATGACGTTTTCCGAAGTTAGAAGCACTTTGTAAAATTATTTAGACACCACGGACATAAGTTGAAGGAGAACATCGTTAGAAAACCTGGACTTATTTAATTTCTAATTTTGAAATAAGCAATACGCATTGAGCAACCGTGGTGATTAACGCTCAAATTTTTCAGTGAGAAAAGGCTTTTACTCAACAATGGGCACTATTATGGATTTAGACAGAATAAATCGACTACCATGGCAATATTTATCTTGGTAAAAAACATCTTAGAAAACATTAATAAAAAAAAACCATCCTGTGCCTTATTCTTAGATTTAAGTAAAGCATTTGACCTAGTTGATCATAATAGACTTATAGAGAAACTTGAAAGGTATGGTGTTAGAGGCCCAGCAAAAAAATGGTTTCAGTCGTATTTAAGTAACAGACAACAGATAACAAGGATAGCTAAACTTAATAAAGTAACAAACACTATTGAAGATTCTGATTCTGTTCCACTTACTAATAGCTGTGGCGTGCCTCAAGGTAGTATCCTGGGACCGCTATTATTTCTTGTGTACATTAACGACTTACCCCAGTCAATAAGTCATCAGTGTGTCCTCTTTGCAGACGATGCTACTATTATCATAAAGAGTAATGAACCCCAAAATTTGAGTACTCAGGTCAACAAAGCATTAGGTGAAACTATTAAATGGTTAGATACTAATAAATTAAAAATAAATATTTCTAAAACTAATGTAATTTATTTTAAAACATGGAAAAGTAAACCCATACAAATTGATGTATCGTATAATACTAGTGTTATAGAACAGATACATTGCTCTAAATTCCTGGGTATAACAATAGACGAAAATATTACTTGGAAAACTCATATTGAAAATGTATGTGTAAAAATTAATAGATTTGTCTTTGCTTTAAGAAAAATTACATGTATAACATCGATGCAAACTGCCTTAATGGTGTACCATGCATACGTTTGCTCGGTTATCCGCTACGGTATCATTGTGTGGGGAAACTCTTCAGATATATCACGAGTGTTCATTGCTCAGAAGAAGTGTGTTCGTGCAATGTTTAATGTTGACTGGTGTGATTCATGTAAACCCGCATTCCAATCAAATAACCTCTTAACGGTTCCATGTATTTATATTTACGAGATTTCTAAATTTGTCAAAAATAATCCTAATTTTTTTTGTCTAGCGATAATAGAAATAAAAGAAAAGCTACTCATTTAGAATTTCAGTTACCTATTCCTAGATTAGAGCTATTTAGACGAAGCTGTATTTATATGGGTCCCTTAATATATAACTCTTTACCAAAAACTATAACCGGTCTACCTCCAAATAATTTCTGTAAGAAAATGGTTATGTCAGCAATGTTTTTACTCAGTTGATGAATTTCTAGCAAAAAACCCATGTAAATTCTACAATTGTGAGCGATCTGTGAGGTATAGACTGTAAATTAAATTAAGTTGAATTGTTATAAATGTTCTATTTCTGTGTTAATGTTATGATAGTTACTTGAACTGTATTAGATAGTAGATTTGCATGTCGCTGAGCGGCAAGATGTATATGGCACCTTGACTATGTTTTACCACCATTATGTACCTACATTTTATGCAAATAAAGAATTACTATTATTATTATTATTTTTAAATACATTATAGTTTTCTTCTCACACGAAAGTTTAAGAAACCTTATACACGGGCCGGAGCCAAGTGTAAAAGGGGAAGATTAAATTGAATAGGTAGATGTTAAAGTAGACGATGTCAAGAATTTTCGGGTGATGCGGCAAGTGTTGAGGATGGTAGCTTTTTGTAGCGTGTGGAGAGTGTATGCAGGCATTTGCAGAGTATTAAGACTTTGTGTGAGGGACTTCGGTATAATACAGGTGGTAGAAAGGACTATGGGGACAATTTGAACTGTTTGCACTCTCCACTGCGTTTTAATTTCTATGGCAAGATCTTGGTATTTACTTAGTTTTTCGGATATGGTAGATTGTATGTTGTGTGAGTTTGGGATAGCAATATCAATCAAGTATACTATTTTATTCACTTTGTCATGTACTGTAATATCCGGCCTATTAAAATGTATTGTTTTATCTGTTACAATGGTTCGATCCCAATATATTTTACAATTTCTGTTTTCTAGTACTGTTTCTGGCTTATACTTATAGTATGCGATCATTTGGTCGACTAGGTTATATTTGCAAGCTAGATGTTGATGTATTATGGCAGAGACTTGATCATGTCTGTGCTTGTAGTCAGTCTGTGCAAGAGACTTACAAGCTCCTGTTATGTGCTGGATGGTTTCTGAAGCCAGGTTACAGTGTCGGCATAAGTCATTCTGCTGATTAGGATCTTTCATAATAAATTTCCTGTAGTTGCGGGTTGCTATGATTTGATCTTGTATGGCCAGCATAAAGCCTTCGGTTTCGGGAAACAATTCACCACGTGTGAGCCACTCGTTCGACTTAATTTTGTCGACGTGTGGTTGGCTCAAGAAGGATCGATGTCTCCCGTGAAGCGCTTTTTCTGACCATAATGCAATCTTGTCTTCATTGTTAATAATTATTTCATTTGTTTGCGTGTCTCGGCTTTGCAAGTTTAACGGTGTGAAGTTTTTGTCTGTTTCTGCAATCTGTCTATGAAGTAACGAGTGTTCTGTTTTACTGTGGAAATAAGTTCTAAGGCTTGAGATTTGTTTATTGTGTAGGTTTTGTATATCTATTAATCCTATTATTATTATTATTAGGCTGATAATGTAGTTGCTTGAGTAGTATTAGGAAGACCGCACCGTTTACCGGAGTTTCATAGCTTCTCTCGCTGACGTACTGACTGATGAAGTTTGATATATCAAAAGTGCCTTATTAGGAACTAGCTTCCGCCCGCAGCTTTGCCCGCGTTGTATGTTGATAAAAATTAGCTTATGCCAGTAGAGTATCATATGCCAGTGCTGAATTTGATTCAGATCAGTTTTGGCCTCGTTTAGTAATAAACATCCAAACATCCAAATATCGTTACTTTCTTTAATAATGTTAGTTAGATAAATGATGGTTAAAAAACGCATCTGCTATGCTAATCTCTCAGATTTTGCAGTCGGGCAACTAATTAATGGATTTTTTTACCGAATTTCACCAGTCCTCAATAGCGCGTAGTCTGGCATCGTATGTACCAAGTTTATAGTTATTAGTCAAACGGTTAGTATATTTTGTTTATAAACCATCGTGATACATACTAAGATTACGACGTAGTGGCCCGGAGGTTGAGGAGCCCACTTCTCATGTATGAGGGTGTGGGTTCGAAACCTAGCAAGTACCAATGTGACTTTTTCCGAATTTTATGTACTTTCTGTGAATATTTAAACACCACTGTGATTATTTAGATACGGTGAAGGTAAACATCGTGAGGAAGCCTGGACTTATAATTACTAATTATAAGTTTGAAATCGCCAACCTGGATTGAGCAAGCGAGGTGATTAATGCTCTGATCTTCTCTTTATGGGCCTGGGCTCAACAGTGGGCACTTATAAGCTGATTATGATGATGATGACATACTAAAATTTATAAAAATAACGGCTTAAGTACTTAATTTAGACTATTGGTGCTGTGGCTGGACAACTGTGTGTCACACTCCTGCACGGAACAACTATTTCTGTGATCTATAAATTGGTGTTGCGGATCTAGGTGTTATGTGTAGGTATGTATTATTTCAAGGCGTGTATTTTTTTTTTATTAATGCACGTGCATGTCGCACTTTTGCCCAGTCACTGCTTTATCCGTGCATCTATGCAACGCAACAGAAGGTTTAGATGAAATGGTAAAATCTACAGGAGGTTCCAAATCCCCACATTGTTCAATCAGTGTAAAATCTCATGTAAAAGGGCTCAATAAATAAAACACAAAATATAATCAGCAGTAATATTTTTAAATTGCTTTGAATCACAATTTTGTAGTGTTTATAGATTATAATAATTACAAAGGAAGATTATTTTTTGTTCAAAGTACACTTATCCAACAGCTCGTCGTCATACATTCATGTCCATCTTCTCAGAAATATTTTACAATAAGATAAACAATTACATTTTTGTTCAATTGTTTTAAAAATAATTATAATAATTACATTACAAACAAACATAACTTTAACAAATTCAACTAACATTTTCATATAACAAAAATAATAATGTAATTTTATTAAAATAATAACCTTTTATACTAATTATTGTTAAAATAACAAATTGAAATATAAATCTATTTAAGAATTTAATAAAAACAAAAAAAGAAAACGTCGAAATCAATACCAAATTATTATTTATTCATATAAGAATAACGTTAATATTAAAATAAGTATACGATTAATAATTACGATTATAAATACTTAGGAACAATATTGTTTATTTACAGTTCACATAAAAAACCTACAACGAAACTAAAATTTATTACAAAAACACAAAAATTACAAATTAAAATGTGACAACTAAAAGAACACTTTTCATAATTTTTCCACAAATTATTTACAACTCATTTTTTATAATTCATTACCTATTTAAAATAGATGTCGAAAATACACTCCACGTAATAACTTTAAATCCAATTATTACAATTCAATATTTAATGTTTTGTTTAAGAAAGATGAACTATAAAAAAGAGATTCTAAGTTGTTCAATCGGACAGTCGTCATTCACACGTCCCTCCATATTGGTGTTTTAGAAACCTTGAAACTGGCAGTACATGACAATCTCTTACATTTGCTAAAGAAAAAACTTACATACAACGCTTAAGATTGCATATAAACCATTATTTTTAATTAAAAAATTAAATAACATCATAAAATTCGCTATCAAATGCCTTTTTCTATATAAATTTGTTTGTAAAGCAATAACTCTAGTAGCTAGCTATAAAAATATAGGATTGTAATGATTTTTGATAAATTAAATTATATATTTTCTATAATAAAAATGACTAAGGCTTATGTAACTAAAGGTTTATGGCAGAATTTGACTACTGTATTGACTAAATCAGGCACTATTGCTTTGAGTAGTAATTAAACTTATAAATAAGAGCCTAAAACTGCTCATTGAACTTTTGGCTAAAGTTGAAGAAAAAACATCTTGAATTACTCACTAGGTATGTTGCATGTCAAAACATTACAATCCTAGTACAAGGATTTAGCAACTATAATAAATATTTATAGAAAACGAAGTTCTAGTGATCTAGCATTCATGAAACAAAAGTAACTAATATCAAACGCGAGTGTCGAGAACGTTCAAGTTATAATTAAGTATCTAAGTGATATGCAATATACTTTAGGCAGGCTTCATTTTGATTAAAAAATCATTAATCGTCATTACAAAGAGGTGATCGAAATTAGTTTTAGCCATTCACTTTGACCAATTAACGAATCACTTCGAAATTAAAACAAAAACTATCTATATTTTTACTAAATAAAAGATCGAAATGACTAAAACTAAAATTTATTCCCTCTCTGAAAAAAAAACACGCAAGCTACTGCGAAAAAGTTCACTATAAGAAAATTACTTAAACAACAATCATTAAACTTATACCTACATAAATACAAAAATCATAGACGCTAAAAATCAATGCGTTTTTGCAAATATTTTTATCACATTTTCGTCAAAAGAAACGTGCCTACGGCATAATAAAGCTCAACTATTTACGGCCCACCCTAAAAGATAAAAGAAATCCAATCATATTCTCACTAATATCGCATTCCAGTACCAATTTCAGTTAGTAACAATTTCTATCTTTTAGTCTTACGAATACTTACTAAATATTATTATGAAGTTAAAATGTGTGAACAAGCTTCTTATAATATAATAATAAAAAGTATTAGTTAAACTTTTAGTTTTAAATTCTATGTATAGATTTCAAGTTTTTTTTTTATTATTTCATATAATAGTAATTTATCTAACTATATCTACTTCTAGTGCACTATCTTTTAGCTGTGGTCAATTACTAAGCCTCGCCGCAAGTGTGCCTTCTTTACTACCTTCGAAAAGTTTATTGCTTTCGTTATCATTCATAAATAAAATAAATAAATGCTAAAAATTATAAATTAAATAAAGAAGTTTGTTTGTCTTAATATACATAATCTTTTTTACAAAAATGAATTATTTTTTTTCTGTTTTTATGTAATTGACATTTATTTTATAAAAAATAGAACACAATATTATTATGTAACTTTTTTAGTTTTTGGCTTTTTTTAAACAATATTCACGTTTTAATAAAATAATATGTAAGATAGTAAAAAGGACACAGTTTTCGGTGGCACTAAGAAGCGTCTATATTTCAACTGTACTGTGACGACCGCGTGGATATTAAAATACACTTTCTTTACAAATCAGAGTTTATTTCACCACAAAAATATTATTGCTTTCAGAGGTTCCGCGTTACAGAGAAAAATATTTTTTTTAATTTATTTTCGTCGTATCTCCAACCGTTTCGCATTTTAATAACATTATCAGCGCTCCAGAAGCAATCGTGCACGCTATCTAAAAATATAGGTATATGCATGACCACTAGCTAAACGAACTATTTGTTCGAAAATTAAGACAGAAATGATAGAATAACGTTTATGGAAAATTAATACATCAAAACTTTTGGCGCAATACATCTCGAAATACTGGTATCGTACCCGCCATTACTACATATACATATATAAATATAACATCTTAAAATTAGCGATCCAAAAATATGAAATATACGTGTTGTATTAGTGCGCCCCCGGCCGACCGCGCTCGCGAGCCTACGCGCCGATGTCTCATACGATGTACGCGTGTGTGCAAACCCGCGATATTTGCGACTTTTGCCGTTCGCCACCGGAGGGTGCAAAAGCCGCCACAACTGGACGGTTTTTCTCAATCCTCGTCGCGTGTTTATTCTTCTTCTAATCGAAAAAACATTGATATATTCGTAACAAAACACCGTTCGACATTAAAACGGCTTTTTGAAACATTTGCTACGAATCTACCAACCTTTTTTACCTACTTTTTCAACTCTGGGCCTCCCAAAATCTAAATAAACAGGAATATATCGGAATGTACGAACAGTTTGAAAATTATGTCGAGAGAAGTAAGAATTTTCAAAAAGAACCAAGTCATAGATCTAGTGGAAATAAAACAACAGAATGTAACAAGGAAAGTTAAACAAGACAGTTGTTAGAAGTAAGTAATATAACACAAAGTACCAGGGCCCTGCTCAAGCAAAGCGTCCTTATTCGTTCGAAACTTTTGCTTTATAAAAATACGAATCGAAAATATCTCGACTGTAGCACGTCTTCTTATGGTTAAGCTATGATTATTCTATTATTTCTTATACTATAAAACTTTACTATTTTTACTACGTTAAAATATCAGAGAATTCAGAAAAAGGGAATATTTAGGTTTTTATTTTCTATATTTAAGTGGTGCACAACCTTATTTCTTCATGAACGCTAGGTAAGTATGGCGTTAGCATAACGAGGATCTAAAAACAAAAGTTCACTATCTAAATAACTAATTTATAGATGTAGGTAGTTGATGAAAATTCATATTAGGGATCCGCACTTATTGGAATAGGAACTAGGGAAGGAGGAACACGAAATCAATGAGATAGGTAGGAAAGAAGACGAAGTGAACTTATTGAAACACATGGTTGGATAAACGGTCGAAGGTCCTTGACAATGTTAGATCTAATCTAAGGAGAGACTCGAAGATAGATCATGTTCGATGATATCTAAGGCTTCACTTCACTGCATAGACTAAAAGAATTAAAACTATTTAGGCTGGAATGAAACCTATTGTTAAACTTTCGACCAAAACTAACTGCGTAATTACTTTTATTTCTCTTAAATACGATAAAATCTCAAAATACTCACAGCTCGTCGGGTTTATTGTATTATACGCTAAGTGCATCTACTTTATAAGAACAGTGGCTTTTAATAATTTGAATTTGTACTTAACCTACATATTTTAAACTCCATTGCTGAAATTATTCATAGAATAGAATTTAAGTTTTGACTCGATCTACTAAAGTCCAACGTAAACAAATTAAAACAAATGTTCTCATTGAAATTCATCATCAAATCGTTTGCAATTGACATGAACTGTCAAAAGCGAAATGTCTCGTATCACTTTTGAAGAGTTTTCGGTAGATTTTTGAAAAAATGCGCCGAATCTTAAGAAATCGTTCAGCCAATACGTATGATGATCTAGGTTTTAATTACTTTACATGCAATTTAGAGTTTTCAAAAATATGATTCCAATAAATGTTCTAAACGAATATCTCAAAAATACATTATGAAAATATAATACAAATACGATAAAATTTATACTAAATATAACCCTGTCTATGACCTGAAGAGTTTAAAATAAAGAATAAATCGAAATCTAAACTCTGAACAAGTCATTTCTAAGGAAAACATAATTACTTCCTAGAGTCACACGCTTTGCTATAATCCGTTCATAATACTCGCAGATGGTAATGCGAAGCAAATTATTGAGAACGAATGAACAGTGGATATCGAAAATCCGTTCAATCACATCAATAAATTGTAATATCGAATCATAACGTTAGTGTTCAAGAAAAAGAATTCAGAAGAACTAAATGAAAAAGATGATAGGTATTCGTCAAAACTTTTTGTTTCTACGATTAAGTAATACGTTTACAAAAGAATTAAAACATTTCAAGTAGACAAGGCCTGATTCAGTTCACAACTCCGATAAAAAACCTGTTTCGTTAAAAGTGCGTCGTGTCAGATAGATATTGAATAATATGTGAATGGCAGTCAGCGTTAACACGTCTGAAGTACTCGATGTAAAACAATCACAAGATACAAATCCAACAGAAAATTTCGACTTGTAATAAATAAATGATGAAAGAAACCCTTCCATTGACAGTGCAATGGAAATGAACATCGTTTTGGGAATGGATAGTGTCCGTATAATAACTGCCGTTGTTAGATTTTAAACAGAAGTTCAAGCAGAAGATCTTCGTCCACGTTCATTGGCGATTCAGGGGCAAGGTAATCAACGATCCTAGAAAATTAAAAATAAATTAAATTATGATACTATGAAGCTATATAGTGATGTGCACAATCATGCCGTATGATTAACTCACAATATTACGTCATCTTATGCAACAAATTAGAGTTTAAACCTTAACAAGGTATATTTAGAATACAATTAGACACAAAAAGGGGCCTAACTCAAACAACTGGCATTTGAGTTGTAAAAACGTTATAATTTTCCTATGTTCCATATCTTATGGTCCAGTAACAAGGTTTAATTTTAAAATACCCTTCTTTATGTAGTTACCTATTGGGCGTGGGTGGTGTATTGGTGATGCGCTGCAGCGAGTTTTGGCGGACATCCGGCGATCGCCGGACCCCCCTCACGCTTTCGGCTCGTGCGTTCTGCAACCTGTCATAGATAGGGAAAAATTTAAAAATATTAACCTAAAAAAAATATAATAAAATAGAACACACACAGACACTATCTAGGGTAAGATATTTTTTTAAGAATTTGTTGTAATTACGATGTGTTTTGAATTTTCACTAATAAAACTTACGTTGGTTGTAAATTCCTCCCAAGTGCTGTGCAGCGTGAAAATAGTTTTGGGAATATTAAATAAAATTTAAACGCAATTGATAATATATAAAAGTATTGCATCGAAGAACAAATGTCCAAACAAAATGTCGAAATCCCAAATCGTATAGCTCCTATAAATGATCCAACAGTGGCAAATCCCTAAGAAGACAAAAAGTATGATAGAATTAATAACTATACAAATTCAAACGACATTCTTCCATGAACTAAAGCCGAGATTCACAAAACTCAAATACACAAGCCTGAACAAAAACCGTCGTTTAATTGAATAAAACAACAAGTAAGAAAGTTAACAAAATCATGCTCTAAAGATTTTCTATCGAAGGCAAGAAACAAACTCGGCTACAGTTGATTTATCTATTTGCCACAGATACAGAAGTTTGGAGAAAAGCTAAAATGTTTCATTCATAAAGTAGGGAACTGATGCTGGCTTAGATTACTTGGAAGGGATCGGGGACGAGCAAGTAGCCAAAATTAATTTAGCATTGACTGGGCCGGAACGAACGAATAAAGGTCTTAATTGTTTGAAATATTCGATGAATCCCTCTTTGTTTGCCTCGTTTCGAAGCGAAAATGAATTTATACCGTTTTTATTATGAACAGAACGATTCATCTTGTCCGTTTTCCTTTTCTTTGTAATTTTTAAACTCCTTTGTTTAAGAATTTGCTTGTTGTTGACTCGTAAACGTGAACGAATATTTTATAGGGGCTATGAAATAACAGACACAACTGTCTATAAGTCGTCCATAAAACTATAAGAACACAGCTTCTAATGATATTTATTTTAAAGTACGGTACGAAGCACATGTACATTGTACACTTCTCAATGAAACCTTCAAATACTTATCTATACGTATAAAAATGAAATAATGTTGTTCATGATTTCAAAACCTAATTTAGGACATTAAAGCTAAAACATACAAATTCGTTACTGCTAAAACGTTAATTCACAACATTAGATACTAATTTAATTAGAATCTATAATTTTATATTAAAACTCCTCGAAGTTTCAAGCCAAGAAATCGTTACTTGAAACGATCCCCACCGCTCGTTAGAAACGGATATTTTATTTGATAATTGACCAAAATATAAAGTAAGTTCACAATTTTATATGAAAAGTTAATATTATTTTCCCTTCCAAATATTAATTCCGACTGGTTCAACAAATTCTGTTTAGACAACGATTCCGGGATCCGGAAACAAATATTTGATAAAGATTTTTTTTCTGCAAATATACAGACGATTTTTTTGGTATAAATGATAAAGGCTTTTTGGTATAAAAACTTTGCTTTTTGCTTTAATTTTTTACCGGATCGGTTTTGTTTTTTTTCCAATAATTTGTGTAGATTCATGTAATAGAATTCTAGATACTACATACGACAGTGCTTCCAATGCTTTATTTAAAAATAATAATACACAAACAAAACATATACATCTATTTAAAAAGCTATAACTCCTGCATCTAATATAAAACAGAACACAATATTTGCCAAAACAAAATTAGCTGAACTCCAAAAATCCCGGAAGACATCAGAGACAAAAAGACACAATACAATTACATTATAATTCAAGAGAATTACCACACAAAATGCTACCATTTTGTCCGGATAGACTGACACGAAGTAAATTAAGGCACCGACTTTTTATGTGGACCGACTTGTCCGTGTTTTCCTAAATTAGGATCACAGAAACTTGGTTAGAAAGTAATGTGACGCAATTAAGATAATTTGTTAAGAAAACTTATGTTCTTATTTGAGGTAATTGTTTTTACGTGATGAGGGGGCGAAATCACGTTTTATGGGATAACAATCCTAAACGTTGTTTCTTTGTGATTTTTTAAGTAATAAGCTTTTTTTGGAAACTCGGTTGTTGACCTAAAGGTATGTCTCAAGAATGTCGATTGATCGTAGGCAACGATACACTTTATTGCTAGAACAAACTATGATTGACTACGAGAATATGGTAAAATTTATGTGCCCATGAGATCCTTGAGTTCCATGTAATAGGACTACGCCTATTGCCAAACACCGAGAACAATATCGGACTACGAGCTCACAGATTTTGAAAAACCGTAAACACAATAACATTTTTTCATTCATCCTGATTACATTACACTTTTTTATGTAATAAGTCGGCAAACGAGGATGGACACCAGCAACGACGGAGAGGTTACGAGTGCGTTGCTGACCTTTTGGGAAATAAGGATATGGGGATGGGGGAGTGGAAGGATTGGGCCTCCGATAACCTCACTCACACGGCAAAACACAACGCTATAGTTGTTTTGTGTCGGTTTTCTATGAGGCCGTGGTATCACTCCGGTCGAGCCGAAGCATGGTTATCCTACACCTAAAATCCTAATCACACTTGGATATACACCAACATACATATTTACATTCATATTCATAATCCAATACTAAAAATAATAAAGTTTTCTTTCGCCTACACCCTTACAAAGATAATATATCGTAGTGACATATTATACATACAAACAAAAAAAGAAATATTATTTCGAAAAAATTATAATATTCACAATTCCGAAAAAATATATACTTTTTTTCTTTACTGCGAGTCTCGAATTGTTTACCCGGAACTAATGTACCGACCCCAATATGCCAGAGCGGAAAGGCAAAGGGCCTTTGAATGCAAATATAAAAATACGATGTGTATTTTACGGAAGGAAAATTTGTAAACCTTATAGGTGGACTTCATAATTCTGAAGGGATATAGTTCTTTAGTGTTGTTTTAAGATTGTATGTATACTTACTTTCTTTTTTTTTTTGATGGGATAGGGCTAACTAGTAAATGATTTACTGATGGTAAGGTACATAAAAAGTATTTTATCGGCCAAATGGACATTGGGGATTGGAGGTTTAAAAATTTGGTGTTTGAGAATGGGACGGGGGAAAGATTGGCCGTCACTTTCCCATTTTTGCATAATCGCGTATCACCTAAAAATGTTAACTAGCATAATTCCCGTGAGAATAATTTCAATTGATAACCATGTTTTAAACCGCGGTCAGAAATCTAGTTATTACTTTTTATACTGATTTCGAAATCCAAAAGAGAAAAAAGAAAAAAATTGGTTGGAGTGCCTCATTTATGGAATCAGTTTAAGATGTGTAGCATTTTGCGAGGGACGTGTACTTCATATTATTATGTTTGCACGAGTTATAGCTTCATATGTTTATTTGGCAATGGCCGATACACTGACAAGGAAGGCTGGACTCGTGTCCTCGTGTCCTCTTTAACGAAGCCCAAATACTTTTTGTTTATTGATTCTCAACCATCAAACAACAAATACAATTCTACTCTAAATTCTAAACAGTACCAACAAAAATGTACTTAAACCTAAAAAAATATAATTACAACAGCAAAAACATCGTCGGCGTAAATTTGCAGGAATGTACATACGACAAAAACAACCTATTTTTATAGATAAATGGAAAAACTACGCAAATCAAGTGTACCCTCGTGACTCTTCGTGACAGCAATTTGCCCACAACTATGGGCTCCTGGTGTGCCTTAAAACTTGTCGAATTGACTCGCTGAACAGTTACGTGATTACGTGGTGATTGTTATTACCCTAATTGATTCTGTATCATTTGAAAAATAGTTTTAAAATAAACTAAATCCACTTACTTGATCTTGGATTGTCTCATGAACTGTTGAATTTTTCTCGCTGCCTGATTTTGACGCCTTTGAGAGTATGTCCTCCTACTCAAACAAAAAAAAAATCGATTAGTTTACAATTACAATAGCTTTGTTATCATTAAAAAATATGCTTATTTTCTTTGATGGCTATCAAACACCTAATTGCAAAGGTTAACTAACTAAAGGCTGGCAACGGGTTTGTAATTTGGCTAGGTCTGGTCGCTTAGGTATTCTAATATTAAGTTTCCTAATCACTTTGAACCAACATATTTGATACTAACTTCCACCACCGGCTTCGCCCGCGTTCTGTGTTGATAAAAAGCAGCCTACAGCAATAGAACAAAATCGAAGTATACATAATTTTTTTATTAATGAACTCATTTTTATGGTTTCATCTCCAATGGGTAAATACCCTATTTCTTACTAAGTCTCCGCTATCCGTACGTCCATAGATAGAATGGTACGGATCTAAATAATAGGTAAGTATTACAAATATTACATAAAGCCTATTATATTATAAATTATATTTTGTACCGCGTCGTGTCAAGTGCGGCAACCGTTAAACAAAAATAATCCTTATAGCATGATTCAGTGGTCACATGCGACGGCGCGATGGCTTATTATCCGAACTGCTAAGCTATCAGGAGATACACGTGCTATTGTGGGTTAACCATAAAAGATATGTATATGATATATGTCCGTTATACATAATTTCTATGTAACTTTACCCATTAAGGTTTCACACGCGACGGAAACTTACAAACGGGAGTAACTTCTCCCGTTTTCCCAACATTTCTCTTCACTGTTCTGCTCCTATTATTTTTAGGGTGATGAAAAGTATCCCATTACCTGCCCAGGAGTATAAAGAATAATTGTACCAAGTTTTGTTAAAATCCGTCGATTAGTTTTTGTTTCTATAAGGAACATACAGACAGACAGACAAAAATTTTACTGATTGAATTTTTGGCATCGGTATTGATCACTTACCACTATATTTCAAAATAACTACCAGGAGGTAGTTATTTTGAAAATATATTTAATGTACAGAATGGACCCCTCTACAAATTTATTATAAGTTTAGATTAGATTAGATTAGATTTTCTCAAAATAAAGGTATAGTTTAGCCTCTATCGTAATTAGGCGGAATCGTGGCGTAGTAGTGGTAGTACGAGTACTGGTCTCTTGTATTAGGCTTTTTGTTGTCACGAAATTACGCACCGTTTAAAACCCGTTACTATACCGCCCTAGTACCATCATACTATTTCTCGAAATACAATAAACTTTACTTCAGTAAAGTCAAAAGACAACCACATCAGATAATATTATAATATTATCAAACGAGTTACTTTTCCATTCACGAGACCACAGGATCTCAGACCTTTGGAAGGCGTACGAGAGGCCGAAGCCAACTCGCAGAGGCCCGTTAAACAGTTTTAATCTAAATGTGATGGGACATCAGCCGGCAATTATTCCTGAATGCACTATAAAGTGCACCCAAGGACAATCCCCAGTTGATGCAGGACTATTGTGCAATATGGTAGAAAATTATATGGTTATGGGTGTGGGTGCCTATGGACTGGTAGATAACTATGAAAATACTATGGCCCCTGAACGAGTTCCTAATCTAATAAACTAATTCTTTCGTTTTTTATTTTACTTACTTGATTGGTGTGGTGGCCATCCTACGCGCACGCATTGCACGATAACCGCGCTGTATCACTGTCGCAGCCGCGTGCATTTGTTTCAAGTACGCAAACTGTTTGATTGAAATAAAGCAAATATTAATTAATGTTACTTGTACCGACAGTCGTTGTTGTGAAAATCATCAACAACACCAATAGTGCCCACTGTTTAGTTAAGGCATCTTCTCATACGAAGAAGGAATGAGCATTAAATACCACGCTTACTTAAAATTGGGAAGGTGGCAATTTCAAAATTATAACTGAAAATGCCAGAGGCACAAATGGGTCGGCTCGACCAGCCTCGGCCCGTAGAAAATCAGTGTAAAATAAAATTAAAACCTAAATTTTCAAAATCAACCATAGGGCGACAATGCACGCGTAACTCCTTCTTTGTTGGATTGCTTACCATCAGGTTATCCGTATGCTCGTTCGCCGTTCTTTCATATAAAAAACAAAAATTCACTAGCTTCAATCATAGTAATGTAATTTTACTGGGTTTCATCTAGTAAGTGGAAGTTCCAGATGCCCAGCCCAATGTTTCCTAAGTGGTTCGCGTACATCCATACCTGTCGTGTACTCACGCAACTGCAGGTTGTTGCTATCAATACTGAAATCATTATTTTTTAAATATTAACCTGTTTGTATCTCCGGTAACAGTTCTGTATGGTGATCGCAGCGGCTGCGGCTCTTCGCTGCAGCTGTCTGCCACGGTACTGGCGATATGCCTTCTGAATTGTAATGGCTGCAGAGTACAGTTCTCGTTGTTCACGATCTGTGAAAACAAAAAAGTATGACATGTTGGATTTATATGTATAGAACTACTACTAGCCTCTTAAAGTGAAGATAGATTTGAAATTAGAAATACATAGCATTTTTTTTTAAATTGTTAAACATAAGCCTATAGTCGTGTACTGCGCACACATCCAAACTTTGTTGCAGAAACTTTTCGAAATCGAACTAAACCAACTCGAACAAATTAAGATTAAAATAATTTTACATAAAATTATTATTCTGTATAAGATCGTATTCTATTCTTAGTAGACAAATGTAAAAAAACAGACACCAGGCTTGCCGAAGGAAAAAAATACAACTACTATGTTTGTAGCACTAGTCACTAATTTAAATCAATAATTATGTAGATATGAACTTACCATTTAACGTGAGATTAGAGAAATGTGTGGTAGCGTTGAGAAATTCTTGCAGAGTGGCAGAAGGGGTCGTACATAGAGGTGGGTGTGACAACGCAGATCTGGGCGACGGAGGTGGCGGAGAAAGCGCAGCTGAACCAGGAGACACGGAGCCAGACGAACAAGGTGTCGAACCCCCACAATACCTAGAAAATAGACGGTAATAAGTAACAGTGTTTCAAGAAGAAATTGTAAAAACCGTTGATAAAAAAAAGTTAATTGCAAGTCATGAAACAATACAACTTTTGATTTAGAGGTTTTGGAAGTTCAAAAGTCATGTATATTATTTTCTAATATTTTTTTTTTGCTCGGTCACGTCTCAATCCATCGAAGACGTTGACAAATTTTTTATACTATTGTACAATTGAAAGAATGATGTTAATTTAAACTTTTGGCACTTTCTTGGTCTCAAATGATTTTTGTTATTCTAATAATTAATAATTAATATAAATGTTTTCATGGCAAAACTTGAAAATTATTTTGGTGTCAAATACAAGCCAAAGCAAATATTTTACACTTGTTTTTAAAGAAAAAAATATCACAAATTTTTTTGACCCACTCTTTTAGCAGTAAGCTTGTTGCTATTAAGTTATAAAAAGCAAAATATGAAAATAAACATGATGACTCATACTCGTATAGACATCATCAAAGCCATTATTTGGTTAATCTTAATACTACACAGAAGGAAATGAAAAGAACAAGAATTTAGTCTAAGTATAATGTGAAATAGAAAACAAAACGACTTTTTGCCAATTTATTTATATATATGAAGTGATGACTACTTCTATCTTTCTATATATTAACAAATCTTCTGAGAAACCCAAAATCATCTGTCCCAAATAACTTTTTCGAGTCCTCTCACCTACGGAGGAGAATGAAAGAGACGTTCAGGTCCCAAAAAACTGAACCAATCCTAAGAACTGAATTAAAAAGCAAAGCAGTTATTTTTTACAAAATGCAGTTTTAAAATACAAAAGCACTTAAAGTAAGCACTATCTAAATAATTAAAATACTTGAAAAGATGAAAAAGTAGAACCCCAACCTATAATAGTTGAAGCTGAAGTCGGCGCTAATGTTGCTGTTGATGCCATCCAGGGAAAGGAAGAAGAAAAGGTCAAGAAGATAGAAGAAGGAGAAATGTAACCTTTTAATCGTCAGTCATGTCTAAATGAAAATTCAAAACGAGCTCAGCACATTTTTAAAAACCGTCTAAAAATTTATATTGTTACGTCTTTAAATTAAAACAAAAAAACTTGTTCAAAGCAAATTCTTCCAAGAAATGCATCTTTTTGATTAGATTTAAAAAAAAGGTGCATTTCAGGTATGAATGCCAGAAAACTCTTTTTCTTTTATGACCTGCCGCTCAAAAGGTTGCACGATATCACAACATCGATTAAGCATTCCTAGAAATGGAAGATGGCGCACCTGTATGTGTTGTCGCAGAACTCAAAGGTGAAGTCACTGTTAAATGTGGTGTTCTCGTCCAGAAGTGGCACCATGAGTGTGTCTTCCCCGCTTCCCCCGCCGCTGTCTAAGCCGCACCCCGATAGCAGAGACGAGCTTTCGTTCTATGAGAAAGAAAATTCAGCATTAGAAATTTAGACAGATAACTATAAAATTGGGAGAGCCAAGCTTCGGTACAAAGGATTGGCTCAACTGGAGTAATACCACGGTTTCACAGAAAACCAGCGTGAAACAACCACAGCACGTGAGTTCTAACCCTTCTCCTCCCTCATTTCTCCCCGAAACAATAAAAACAAAAGACTTTTTTCCTTAAAAAACATATTATTTTATTTGACGGTATAATGAAGGCCATCTCTATAAAAAGCGTGGTAGGTGTTATACCAATTCAATCAGACATAACTAAAATAAAAATGACCATAAAAAGTTTACCTTTATCCTTTCTGGCATGGCGGCAATAATTTGCTCCGCCAGCGTGAACACCCGGTCATCCTGCTCCCCTGAAAATTATTTGGTAAAGTGGTACCTTATAACAATAAATTACAACACATAATACTAGACATCCAATATTTTAATAGCAATAATCCTGTCTTGAAACGAATTTAGATTTTATTAAACAAACAATTAAAATTTTTGACACAGTCGTCTTAAGACAGGTTTTTGCACAAATCATGACAAGTACTAAGATCAATTTCAAGTTGGGGTATAAACAAATGTTTTTTTAAGGCGAATTTCCTAAAAAATTGAGATGTTCAAAACGGACTGTCATGATTTGCATTATAACCAATGTTTGTAAATGAACGAATATTATAACTTAATAAAAAGTTTAGAAATATTCAGACATTCTCTTTCAATCTACACACATAGTAAATAAATTTATTTTAAATGAAATAATAATGCTTTATAAGGTCATATATTTATACTTCGTCGACATCTTGTACTCATCTGAATTCAAGACAATGTAATTGTCAGTATGTTTTTTAAAATGTATGACGTATCAAAAGTACTACATGTAAATTATCTAATAGTTAAATAAACAAATTTCTTGTTTGTTTGTTTATTGAGACTTACTCATATTTACAAAAATATGCCAAACCACGTTAAACAAATATTGGTAAGATCAGAAACAAATTGGGTAGTGTTCTTAGTAACGTCCTTAGCCTAAATGAACATTGATGGTTAACAAAAATGAATTGAGTATCGAAAAATAATAATAATAAAAAAAGGTGTAATGAGACAACAGTGCTCGATAAACTGATGCCAAAGAACTTACCTGAGACAATGGCAACAGTACCCAACTACACATAAAAAGCGTCTAAATACTCATGCAAGCGTTTAGCATTCATGCAGTGTTGTAAATTGTCACGTTTTTTTGAAAACAAGTGTACTGACTGGACAACGTAGTCTTGTGTACTGAAATTGAAGGTAGAAGCCAATCGATTTGGTTGTGATAGTGATAGTGGATAGACCAATACGAACCACTGAAAGCGACATCGAGGGACAACATCGAATAAACTAAACCGAACTTTATGTCTTAAATATAATGGTATTTTTTGTTTTTAGGTCATTGGTTTCATTATCATTGTCTAGTCAAATACTGTCTCTGTTATAAAACTCGGTTTAGTTTAGGATACTACAGACAACAAACACTCAAGGGAAAACTCCGCTCATATTGGAACACAAAGTACAGAAGAAACTACAAGTGGTCTACCGACATACAGTGAACAAGGACTACAGACTGGCGACAAAGAGGGAGACAAAGATATATAGACAACTTTTGTTAGAAGAAGAGGGAGGCAATGCAACTACTACATACACAACATCGACAGATAGGACGAGCGGAGTTATCGATGCTGCGACTCGAAATGGTATAGAACTTTTACGCATAGTAAAAAACTGCCAATAGGAAGACAGGATATTTAAAACATTTGAAGAAATGTTTTTTGAAGCCAATTCAGTTGATCATAATCTGTTTGTGTTAATTTGGAATAATGAAACAGAAATTTTGGACCAAATGTAAACTGTTTTAATGCCGATTTTCCATTCATCTTCCTTAGTATCGAAGGTGTAATCATTAATTTTTGGGTTTATGTTTTTTCCAAAATTAATGGCTGCGACCCATTTTTCAGGGTCGTAGTTTTGAAATTTAGTAAGTATTTTAGTTTCGGGTGCAGTCTATACCGTTTCTGTGCGCGCCGGCACTGACCTGCGGGGCGCGGGCGAGCGGCGGGCGGGCTGGCGGCGTCGTGGTCGGACAGCGCCTCCACGTCAATGAGCGGGCTGGCGGCGCGCCGCGGTGCCGTCTCGCCTGCGGAACCACCCCCTCAACATACCGCTAAGCCGCTACTCAGCCTTACCGGTCAAACGACGTGAGCCTACTGACGTCTTCATGTTCAAATCACTTACATGAACGAAATCAAATGCTTTCAAAATGGACGTGCTCTCTAAACTTATGCTTATCTCGTAATCTGAAAAGAAGGAAGGGAAGCTACGAACTAAATGTCTGAATCTATTTTGCTAAATCGTTTTTGTATTCTGTGAACCAGATGATTTATATTTTGAGTTCATGAATTCTTTATTATTAAAATATGAAACAAAAAATAGGACTTTAATTAGCATTTCAATCAACTATGAAGCTAAAAGTTGCTTACAAACGTTGATAACCGTCACAGCCCGTAGTGTAGAACTCACACGTTTGACCAGTTATATCGCCGAACAAACCATCACCGTTTTAAAGGAAACATTGACGAAAACCCGAAACCAAGGTTAGGACCTTCAAATGTCATCAGCTGCCGTGCCGATATAAAATAACCAGCAAATGAAAAAGGAATCGACTATGAATGAGGCGAAGTGGTTCAAAGACTTACAGAGGGCCAGGTCCATACGTCTGCCAATCTTGGAATCTCCGAGACTATCTTCTGATGTATCTGAATCTAAAGGTAGAGACATGCTTCGTTCCCATCTGTAAATGTTAGGATTTCGGAAAATTATAATGGCGATAGTCTTTGTTGAACCTTTTAATAAAGCCATAAAATTGTTATTGTGAAAGATTAATTTTATCAAATATTTTGTTAGTATAGGCATATCACTTGCATCTTTAGACAATGATTGAAGAATTCTAAAATCACAGGCATGCAGATCTAAACACCGATGACTTAAAGTGGATGGTCACCTTGCAGAGGAACTGCTTTCTGATTTATCAATGGCTGAACTGGATCTAAACGCGTCAGCCATATTGATTCCAGAATCTATCGACGGCCTCTTCACCAGGTTGCTCTCCAAACTACCGGCACGGCTTTTTTGTGATAAACTGGAAGTACATTTTTTTATTAATCCGTTATATTAGTTCTGTCACAAATTAAATCTATATTAGTGTTCTCTTCTATGTCTCGAGGTAACTAAATTTATTAAAGTATTTTTAAGGATCCGTTTACAAAACCGCCACTTTACCCAGAACAACATTTTTGAATCATAAAAAGTTATTTTACGAGGCACGAGAACAGAGCCCACGTCACAATGCGCGTCAGCCGTTCAATCATGGAAAAGATTGAGCATTTTCGTTTTGTCTCACCTATGCGGCCTAAGAAAGACTCCATCTTTAGCAGGCGGGTGTATCCTATCAAGCAAAGCAGCAAGGTGTGAGTGGCCAGCACGTCGTGCTGCAGCAGCAGCTGCGCGTGCGCCAGCCTCGCGCCGCGTGCCCGCGCTCCAGCGTGCTAGCACCACGGCCGTCTCCACGTGACCTGCCGCACTAGCTACCATCTGAAATAATAGAATAGGCATTTAGACATTTAATTTGCTTCGTCTCTTCACTTTTAAGCCTTCGTTATTAACCCAACAGGAAATTATAATATCACATATCACTTGGCATAGTACTGATTTAAAAAATAGTGTGGTGATATTTACAACTCAATTAAATTTCATACTTATGCAGACATACTGACCGAAATGAAAAATGTTGTCATTTTCAAGTGCTCTATTACCGCACCACCATTGTGTGTGTGCATTAGAAAGTAATAGAATGTACTTAACCCAAGATTTTGGGTTGATGTAATATTAGACTCAAAATGGAATATTATGCTTATTACTCACCAAAGGAGTGCAGTTATCACTATCCCTTGCACCCAAGTTGATTTCTTTCTCCAGAGCTAAACTGGTGTCATCCTGCCTCCACCGCAGTAGGACTGTGGTCAACTTGGTATAACCTAGTGCAGCAGCCAAATGCAATATCGTGGAGCCATCTTCATTTGGTTCCGTGGTGAAGCCCTCCGATGTACCGGTCGACCGATTGCTCAAAGATCGACAGAAAGAAACCAACCGTTCTTCAAATTTCGGGTTCGAATACAATTGAACATCTTCAATCTGAAATCGAGAACATAAAATATATCAACAGAGTTTTTGATATAAATTTACTTATAAATTTTAGTAGGTCTAAAGTGTAAAGGGTAAATTAGAAGTACTAAAACAATTTTAATATTTACAACATCACAACATTCATTTTATTAAACTTAGAGCACTCTTGACACGATAATGATATAATTAAATGAATTCAAAAATAACTTGAATTAAACACACCTGGCTATTTTCATCAGCAGGTTCAATTTTCATTTGCAAGCGACCTTGTAATCGTTGCAAACGCTGCAGCAGTGAAAACCTCCTCAAATCCAACGATGGGAGCGGCGCTGACGCGGGAGACGACGGCGCAGGTGCTGGACCAGGCTTGTATTCAAAGACAACCGTGTCTGATACAACGCGACCACCTCGAGCCACCTGCAACGCTGCTAACCCTGCCTCATGCGCTGGAATGTTAAAAAAAGTATTTGTTATTAGAGGTGAAAATAAGTACATTGTTTTATTTTTATCGCTTTACTATATTGGAGATAATTATTTCTATTTCATTTTTAATTCGAGAAATGAATTATATTTTTACTGCATTAACTACCTAAGAATACAAAAAAATGGTTGTTTTGCTTCAACAAATTTGAAAGTAATAGAGGAACTATAAATATTTTTATATAAATTATACCATAAATTTACCTGGACAGTAACACCTCAATAATCCATTTTGGACTAAAATTGATGGCACTGGAAAGTTGTCAAATAGTACAGTGTACTGATCTGATGTATCTGTCCAAGGGCCAGCTACTAAAACCTTCGCTCCACCTTCAGGGTAGGCCCATTCTGGGGAATAATCCGTGATATTCAGCGTACCCTCATTACTACTACTCTCAGTCTGCATTTTCTCACTAGTATCTTCGGCTGGGGGAGACTTGTCACTAAGAGTCTGGAAATTAAGAAAAAAGGACTGCTTTTATGTTGATTAAATCTGTCATTTTAACCAGTTTTTGCAGAAATTATAAATGCAAAAAGCATAATAAAACAAAAACTGATTAAAATAAAATAATAATAATAATCGAACAGTTTACTTATATGTATATATGGCAGATATAAAATAAGAACTAAGCCGAAATCATAAAGAAAAATAATGGTTGGATAGGATATTATCATAACTTAGGTTATAAGGCTATTTAAAAGTTTACTCAATACACATAAATAAATAGTATCCTCCACCCCAATTGCTTTTCGACTCACCACTGGATTTGATGACATCCCACTGGGATCCAGCACTTCCAATTCGGGAAAGTCTCCGAGCATATCAAAAGCGTCCAAATTCACAAACACATTATCATCAACTCCTGTAGCTGGCGAAGCTACAACTTCACAACTGTCTATAAAGTCCATCGTATCTATACCGGACACCATCACATTGGCCGTATCAGTATGCCTCACACCATTCCTATCCAGCTCACAAGTAGGCATATTCGCCGACAATGTCTTTTGAATATCTTCATGCGATAATTCAAGGGTCTCATCAAAGAACCCACTAGAACCTAAATTGCTGTCAGTACCGAGCAGCACTAAAGTATCATCACAGTTATCTGTCAAAACTTTACTTTCTAATCTTTCAACTAAGTCTGGATATCTTGATGGAGTCGCCGGCGCACTTGCGATTACCTGGTTCCGACTGACACTACTTCTGGGCTCCACCTTAATTTTCCTTTCAAATACATCAACATCTATTTTTTCCTCTTTAGGCTCAATTTCAAACTTTGTCTCAGTATTTTGAACAACAGTAGGTTGACTGTCTGGAATTTCCCGTTTTAAAACAAAAGTGGGTTTGTACTGCTGCCTATACCTATCGCGGGGTTCTTCACAGACGAATGACGTCACTGATAGTGGAGATACCAAAGACGAGTTTTGTTGGGTACCGTTGCTCGTTCCGTTTAATATAAGGAGACCACCCCCACCCTGAATTTGGCCTAAAGATAGAAGTAATGGAGATGCTGATTGTTGTGCAGGTCGGTGGTCTCTGGTGTATTGCCTAGGTGGGTGAGACATGGGTCTCGGTGAAGGGCCAGTGGTTGATGAAACTTGGTGATCTGAAGGTGGTGGTTTTGCAGCTTGAACTCGACGCATGGGATGAGCACAGTTTCTTGAATCATTGCAGGTGGAGTCAGGACAGCCGCACTCCAGCTGCCTCGCTAAAGCTGCAGCTCTGGCAGCCCTTTGCTTCTCCATGAGCTGAGTTACGATAACTTCAACGGTTTCCGAGGTCTGAAACATTTTGCCCTGATTTTTAATTATAGAGAATTTGACTTTCAAATAACACATCTATGGGCTGTACTTACCGAAATTTCCAAGTCATTGCTGTGGTCAGGATCATCTTCGCTGAAGACTGAAACAGAGGACACTACAAATATTATAGGAACATAATGTATGAAACATTCATATAATTGTGAATTAAATACTATCTTTTCAATCGCGCCACGTTGGCCGAGTTACATTAAAAAACCCATTAACCTAATTTCCATCACAAATGATAACGGAAATAATTCCATTTTAAGGCTTGTAATATTAATTTTCAATCCGAAATCAATAACAGGGTGCCCCTAAATTAACAACAGCATCGTTATTCCGATCAGATAGGATTAATAACCGCACTGCATAATTGATATTTGCCACCGTTTTCATAAATATTCAACAACGGAGCAGAAACTTTCATCGTTTCAATTTGGTTCCAGTGTTTTAAATTCTCCAATTCTGTTAGAATGACAATTTTTTGTTCAGTAAAAGTTGATAATTGACGGCGCGGTGTTACATAGTAATTGCGTTATGATTGGCAGTTGAAGTGGAAGTCGCAATTTGTTCCAGTTTCTGATTGAACAGAATGAAACATTACAGAAAAATTCTATTTTCAAACATATTTGAACATAAGCTATACATTTAAACGCTACGCTTGACAAAATATTACAAACAAGGTTCCTACTAAATACAAAATATAAATTAAACATATGCTCACATCCTTCATATTCTCAATTCCTTTAATTTTTGCTTTAGAATATCTTCATAATCCAAAATATTTCGTTTCAACACACAAAGACACTGAACTCCATAATTCATACTTTGGAAATTTTCGTGGCAAAAAACCTTTGATTACATTCTTATCTGTGGAGTTATTCAAATTTATGTTGATCCACAGCTAAGATGAAGGTACTAGCATCTTTCTCATATACGAATCTTATAATTTTATTCATAAGGTGTCCATTTGGATCGCGCTAAATGAACTATGTTTTACTTCGATAGAATTTGTTTAACGACTCCCTAAAATATTCGTATATTTCATTTATATTTATTATGTTTTATTCAGTTTGTTTTTCATTAAGTTCAGAATATAATTATGTCTTTGGGGACGCGTTTGATGGTTTTATTTTTAGCTTGAGCTCTTCTGCATCATACATTAGTTTAAACTGTTGAAAAATAATTATACATATAATGCTTTGTGTTTATGATACCATTCCAAAACTCTACGAGAATTACGGCTAATGGCGTACCCCAAGGAAACATCCTTGTGCCAGAAAGTTTAGGACCTTATTTTAAAACGCGTAAGCTTGTCTTTTTTAATTTCTTGTAATACTCACACATTGGCTTCAGTTGACAGACCAGCTCATCCTTAGTCCACTCCTTCTTGTCTGCCCAGAGGGCCAGGCTGGGTGCTACCGTCGCCAGCTTGTTGTCATCTGGGTATGGCACGTTCAGATAGTGTACTAACACTATATCTGGATTCTGAAAACCGAGAATAATAACAAATTATCGAACTGGAATTATATATTGAGAAATAGTACTATCTTACGTTCAGATTGGGTTGAATTTAGCTTTGTTAACACGAAATAATTAATTTACATCATAATCATTGTCTTTACTTGAGGTAATGTTGCATCTGTTATATTTTTAGAGTCATGACTTTTAGTAACTAAGAAACAATTTTGAAATGCAGTTTTATAAACAATCAGCAAAATAATTTATGATGCAGTTAAGAAAATAAAAATTGATTCAGTACAGAGACAATATTTATTGTGATGGTAAATTTAATGTTTTTCAACGAAGCCAAATCAATCTTTATTTTCTTACCTGAACACCAAATTCTTTTGCTGACTGTAAATAAAGAAAACAAATATTGTTCATAATGGAATAGAAATTATTTTAACAAATGCACGTTACTCAATATCAAGCATGAATGAAATATGTTCAATATATCTGTCCAAATTTAAAACATTGGTAATATTGTGAGAATTATTCTATTGCATTCAAAACTAAATGTTATCTACGTCCATAATTTTAACATATTTACTAGCAAATGTAAAACGTCATTTACATAAATTGAAAACCTAAAACAAATACAGACGAAAATTATTTCGATTGTAATCAAACGTTAGCATACCTACAATTTATTTGTAGAATCGAAAAAAAAAACATAAATCTTGTATAACTGCTTTTTAATACTATAGTAACACATACCTACTAAATTTATTGAAAATTATGACTTATCTGAATGAATTTGAATTAACTGAGTAAGACTGTAAGTATACCTACCGTATACTAGTTTTTTTTCTCTTTTTTCTTGAGACTTTTATACCAAGTACATGTCAGTCCCATCGTACCTTTTAATCTACTTACCTAAACCTAATAAATTGACTTACAAAAACGTAATTTTACTATTTTAAATAAATCAAGGGCGGAGTATACTAGTTACAAGTAGTCAAAACGGGGCTTTTGTTCATGAACAGCGTGCGCGTATATTCAGTTAATTCATGTGATTAAGGCGTTATTATCAATAAATTTTATATGTTTTTATTCAAATATAAAAAAATCTCGCTTGGAAACTTTCATATGACTGGTTAAAACAATAGTAATACCATAATAATACCAAGAAGTAAGCCTCTAAAAATCTTTTTCCTAAAATATATTATTTTTTGAAAACGGTTTTATTTTTGCCTTTTGAACTCAATTTGCTTTCCATTCCATTAACAAGGTACCTTTTCGAAAACCTCTTTAAGCTGTGTTATCGAGTTTAAGTAAAGCAAGAGCTACGCAATAAATTATAGCCAACAGAGACAGCGCACCCCGCCTTTATTTTCAACCGGATAACAAACACCATTTAACAATACAAACCTACACTATTACTCAAGTTAGTTACAAACAAATAAATTTCAAAAGGCCCATAAAACCAAAAGCATTTATAAACGTTAAGTGATATGTGAAAATTTACAGCTGTGTATAAAACGCGTTACAAGGACAGGCTAACGAGTGGTGAGGAATAAAAAAAACCGACTACAACGTACTGCACTCAGTAGGGCATAAACAAAGAGCAACATCCGAAACTGCCAGTAAATCGACTCCAGCGCAGTTAAACTTGGTATAAAAATAAGTAATACACAATATTTTAATTTTGCCAACCCGACTAGCGAATGTAAAACCGAGTGCGCCGTAATAACTAACCATTTGTCTTCAAAATGGCTGCAATAAACATGGCGTCATTATTTATGTAATGGCCGCCGCGTAGGGTTGCCTCTCGACACGTGTGCACTTTATTATTGTTGTGGTTTTTCATTAACACCCCGTTAAAAGTATATTTGTTGTAACAGTGCTTCAACGCATTGTAACATGTTGTTGCCATAAATTTGTAGTTGAGTGAAATTGTGATTGTTCACACGTCATTATTTGCGGTGAAGCGGTTGCGGATGAGTTGTTCTGGTTAATTGGCCCCGTGAGAATAAGTCGATTGTATCGAATGTGTACTAAAATATATTTGAGGGAACATGCAGCATGTTTACAAAATAATAATTGGAATATTAGCAACATTTGAGTATTGATATAAGGCTGTACTTTTGATTAGCACAAAAATCTGTCAACCAACAAACACATACATTCTTAGATACCATATTAATAACCATGTTAGGTAGGTATAGGACGAAAATAATATTTCGTTTAAGGTAATAAGTTTATAATATAAAAACAAGATTAATTTTGGCTAAAACTTTCCAGGGAAAGCGATTGCGCAAGCGTTAAATAAATCTGATAACAATTGTATTTAACTTTACTAACAAAACTTTCGCCAAAACCTTCATGCACGAAATAGCCATGATTCTATCTACTTTATATAATGATAGCAAGATAAACGAATTTATTGTGAACGGATTGCATACACACCATATAATTAAAGAAGTTTATTTCGTAGTTGAGTATATGAAATACCGCCAAATAAATCGGCGGTATTAAGGGCATGACACTTTGTTCCAGTTTTAACCGGATTATTAGGTCAGTAATTAAGGAAATGAGGATTGTTTTAGTAGCCAATAGCAATATTTTTTTAATATTTTGCTTGGTTGATATAGAGACGTATCAAGTATTGATACTTAATTATATTCACACTAATAATATGTTTTTGTTAATATATATTATAAAATTTTGAACCTTTGGAATGTACTTTTTTCATAGTAAAATACAAATAAATATAGGCTGACACTATAAATTAATGTTGAACAAAATGATTGACACTGACATATTATGAGACACGTCAATAGTTATGTCAAAACTATAATATGACAGGTCCACTCACTGACATTTCCATTTCCTCGTTCAACTCAAAAACTATTGCCTTGTTTAATATATTCATGCATCAGTGAGACTTTGAGAGTTTAATATGTGGTACAATGGTACAATGAAAACAGACTAAAATGGCTCGTTTAACCAGTCGACTGCGACATATAATATATTACCTATATACCTACCTTTAAACGATCTATTTTCCAAATATATCACTTCGAAAATCCCAATTAATAATAAAAATATATAAACAATACACTGGATACTAGCCAGTAGACAACCCTAGACTGTCTGTACACAAAAGTCGAAAGGTACTTTCGGCTCAGAGCTTAGCACGATCTAACTGACTATTGGCGACTAGTAGAATAAAAAGGTTATGTACAATTTAATAGGATACATATGAGAAAATATTCCAAATAATATACATTTTTAGAACTATTTAGATATAATCACTGTTAAGAATTCAGTTTTACATTGCAGTGCGAGTTTTAATGTTTTAAAAAGCAATAGAATTTTTATTAAGTATGTTTTGTTTTGGAATAAAATGTAATTGGATGCATCTTGGGAAGTCGTTGAGGTATTATAAAAATAAATTGTTTGTCGTTGAAAATTTTATCAGATAGTAAGTAAGAAAGAGAAGCTAATATAAAAGGGTTGAGACGCAGCATTGTCTCCTTAATTCTCTCGTTGGTGAATAAACTCTCAAAAATTAAATTAAAAATTTAAAAAAACCCCCGACTTTATAAAAACCAAATGTAATGAACGGAACGAGATATCCATAAACAATTATAATTCCTATGAAAATGGATGGATATGGATATGGATATCAAATGATATCAATATATCCATAAAGCGCCATTTTGTAGAGGCAGCCATCTTGGATTTTAAATTTTTCATACCTAATAGTATTTCACTAGTCAAGCCCTTTCATTTGATACTCATATTGATCAAGTTGTAATAAAAAAATGTAAAGCACCATTTTGTAGAAGCAGCCATCTTGTATTTTAAATTTGTCATATGTAATAGTATTCTACTAGTCAAGCCCTTTCATTTGATACCCATATTGATGGAGTTTAAAAAAAATATCTAATCTGTCATTTTGTGGCGGCGGCCATCTTGGAACAATTTTCATCAAACTTACGTAAAAACACTCTCGACATTTTCTACTGTCAAACAAAAAAAACTAAATCAAAATCGGTCCATCCGTTCGGCGGCTAGAGTGGTACAGACAGACACACACACACACACACACAGACACGTCAAACTTATAACACCCCGTCGTTTTTGCGTCGGGGGTTAAAAACTAAATGTCATGTAAAAACGTGGTGGCCCAGGGTAAAGCACGCGCTTGTCATGAATGAGGGCGCGAATCAAGCGCGTTCGAAACCGGGCAAGTACCAATGTGACTTTTCCGAGTTTTATATACAAATATTATTTTAAATTAAGAACATAAATCTATTAACTAAAAAAAATAAGAATAAAAATTCTTCCTGTTGCTTCATAAAAGGCTTGTTGTACTTATTGTGTCCTCATTAATCCTTCCCTCCTTACTTCCCTGCGTCCCTCTTTCCTCTCTACCCCTCTACAGTTACCTCACAAGTTAATTGTCTCGTTAAATATTAACTTAGTCTAATTGAACTACGTATACGTGCTAATATTGTTTCAATTATTTTAAGACTTCCGTTTTGGCATTACCTATCATAATTGTTTATTTTATAATTGACAGAGTCGTTAATACAAACTGCCTAGCTTTTAAGAAATAATATACTACTTTTTTACTTTTTTATAGCTATTGTACTATGAAGATACAAACGTAACTTATATTTTATTCTTTTACTTCTTTGCCTATCTTCTCGGTTTGTTTTCACAAGATTATGCAAGAGATTAACGTCCCGTTTCTGAAAGGCTTGTCAACGCTAAAATTAACTAATCTCCTATTAAATCTCTTGTCAAGTCATCTGATTGGTTGTTGATAATTCAGTCAACCAATCAGATGACTTGACAAGAGATTAAATTGATTGTAACATTAATCGGCCTTTCGAAAACCGGGTGTAAGTATATTTTCGAAATGTCATATACAATGCCATCATTTGTTGTGACATATTTTTATGTCGAATGGCATACCTTCTTATGTATTATCACTGAATGAAAGTGAAATATTTTATTCGATGAAAATAACAAAAAAATAATCTATTAATATTATTTTCTTTAGTTTAACCTGAGGTGTGGTTATATGTGAATACATTATCATATGTAGGTAAACCTAATTAGTTTTAGGTACACCTACAGTAATAGTTTTCTATAAAACTCCAATAATTGTAATTATTGTACGACTTTAAATTCTACCAACCTAAAATGACAGGATAAATAAATTCACAATCAAAATAATCGCCAGCAACGACCAACGAAATCCCGACCAGCAAGCTAATACATCAATAGACAAAATTGACACCTGTTACATTCGACAAACATTGAAACTCGAGCCAATCACAAATTCAATTACCTTCGACATTTTCGATGCGGCTTTGATGGCATTTTACAAAATATCAATTTGTAATCGTCAGTACGGGGATTAGTTCTGAGGGTCCAATGCGTTCATTAGAGCATGTCACCCACCTTGGATAGTCAGACAAAGAGCCAGCAATTAATTTGAGAGGTCCCAAGCACCGTCTACGCCTTCATAGATTACGTTAATGATTCTACGCCGGATAGTCTAATGGTTCAACTTGCTGATATTGAAAAAGTGTTCGAAGAATTTTCTTTTTAGGTCACTGAAGTATCTAACGTTAAAATGATGAATCGAGTTTTTATCAAGGTCTAGCTATTTAGGCTATCATATTTTTATGAACGTAATGTTAGACAAAGACTTTACTACTATACATACGCTTTTATAGAATATCCAATTATATATTTTTTTCAAAAGGTCAAAAAGTATTATAGTAATACATTTTTCCTTTGGAAGAACTGCAGGAAGAGATTCCATATACTTCTAATATATAATATCTCGAATATGCAGTTCCTATGTACCTCTGTCTCTGTATTTGTTCTGTATTTACTGTATGTGTGATGTGCATAAATAATAAATAAATAATGTATCTACCTAGTAGTAACTTTTCACGAGTAATCTAACACAGAGCCTACGAATCCCTTTTTTAATTTGTCATAGCCCCTTATAGATACTATAAATAAGTTTTCTATATTGTTAAGTTCAGTAATGTTTTGCCTAAAACTTTACTATCTAAAGTAAATGTTGGCTTAATGAAATTCAATGTATTGAAACAGTTCTTTGACTAAGACCAAGCATCAAAACATCGTTTGACTAGCAATGAAAATAAAAACAGTTGATGTGTTTCTGTGTTTGTGTAGAGAAAACCATCAATTAACTTGGGTGGGACGAAAGGATGTGTATGACTCTTAATGGCTAAAAATCACCCCGTTCCTTCAACCCCGTATATTATTGCACTTCCAACACTGGCGTGTCGGTCAGTCCTCTAGTGAAGCTATTTGCTCGTTTCAAACTATAGATTGACGTACATTTACAAGCCTTCAACAAAATACGTAGGTAACACCAACTATATAAACTTCAATTAGTGACAAAAACAGATATTTGCTTATCATCAGAGAGAAACTAAAATCACGGTTCGTTAACCATTGAATTAATTAAAAACAATTAACAGGAGAGATATATAGGAATACTTGTTACGATACCCTCAGAACATTCAGTTTAGGATAGCGTAATGGAATTAAGATGATCAAATATTAAATTTTCATTTGATACCGGCCACCGAGTATGATCTTGACATACTGTTTACATTTCATAGGTTATTGTAATTAAATGTTGTATTGGTTAAAAATCACTACATAGTATAAAACAAAGTCACTTTCTCTGTTCCTATATCCCTAAGTACGATTTATACTTTAAAATTAAGCAACAGATTTTGATGTGGTTCTTTTAATAGATAAAATGATTAAAGAGGTTAGGTTATACTATGTATAAAAGCACCCTGAAATAGTGAAAAAATGTAGTATGACGATCACTCCCGAAACCGGAGCGGGTCGCAAATTATTAAAGAATTGTTTAAACGCGACAGCAATTTTTACTATAGAGTAATGAACTATCTCCATCAATTCGATTACACTTTTTTTGAAGGAGGAACGTCATCTATTTATTTCTCCTGTCCTGTGAGGGTGAAGCGAGAGGGAGTGTCAGACACTTGCTAACTTAAACCCACCTCGATCTTTGTCCTGCTCCAGGCAGGGGCTGCAGTACATTGTTGCGCTTACACCTAAAACTGGCTGAGATTACAACCGAATTCCATAACACATTTCAAACTAAATTCATTCACATCTTATCTTACTCATATTATAAATGCGAAAGTCATGATGTTTGGATGTTTGTTACTTAATCACGCCAAAACGGCTGGACCGATCTGAATGAAGTTTCGCACAGGCTTAGCATACACTCCGGAATAGAAAATAGGCTACTTTTTATCCCGGAAATATATAAGGTTCCTGTGGGATATACAATTTCTTATTTTGGTTACAGCCTCAATACCACGAAGGCGAAGCCACGGGCAAAAGCTAGATTAAAAAAAAAAATCAATTCAAAAACTACTTAAAACTTTCCTCAACAAAAATAAAACTACACAAACTAACGAAAATTGAATTACACAAAAGTTTTCACTTACAATTCAATATGAAACTAGATAAATAATATGATATTGTAACAATATATCCATTGAAATCTGAATTATGGTGCATTAAAGCCAACGTATGCTATAAATGGTGTTCCAAGTTGTTTTCCTATTGCTAAAGTTAGGTACAATGCTTGTGTAATGTTTGAGTCGCATTGTTACAGTGGTACAGGAACTTGCAAACGTAAACGTGTGGGTTAACGTTTAAAGTTAGCACGTTTTAATGTATGCCCGTATAACAGTGGTTGTGTTAATTCTTAATCGTTGATACTCGTATGTTTAGACTTTATTGTTAGTGTGTGGTTTTTGTGTTCAAAGCGGGATTGGAGCAGTTGTGTTTATTAGCTTCATTTTAGTATGAGTTCTTTCTTATTACTTAATTAACATATTGAATCATCATCTATAATAATACTTAAGTATTAAAAGTCCGGGTTTCATTTTATATGATTAATTTTATTTTATCACCTCAATTTGAAACTAAGGTTACTGAAATATCGTTTGAGTCAGTCAACCACTTAAAGCCTAATACAAAATTATATTGATGCAAGTAAAACCTATGTATTTGCTTAAGTAGTTTAAAATTATTGCGGAAGATCCATGTTTCGGTGCAAATGGGCTGGCTCAACCAGACAGAAAACTACAATATGCTTCGCCGTGTGAACAAAGCTACCGGAGACCTGCTCCTGCTCCTGTACCCTTCATTCCTAACCCCTAAAAAAATACCTAAATTTTAACCCTCAAATAGCCAACGCACTTACGTGCGATTGATTGCTTACCATCAGGTGATCTACTAACTTTTAAACTTTCGCGATTCATGTTTACAAAATATAATTACGCGGGTTTTAACGCGAAAAATAATAATATCTTGGTAGGCTTGACGTTTCGACCTGTGTAATAATTATTTTTCGCGTTAATACACGAGTAATTATAATTTATAAATTAGGTGATCTGGTCTCTGATTCTTTTGATGTTACAATTTAATTCATTGTCAACTATGGCCGTTTTATTGTTGAGTGAAATATATTTGATAGCCAGACGAGCAAACAAGTATTACAGCACCAAAGTAATAAGTACTTTACTTTACTTTACAATTAAATTCATATAAAAAAAATATGTCTTCATTTAATCACTATTTTTCCATTGGGATATTTCCATGTTTTTTTATGTTACGTAATGGAAACGAAGGACATATTTCTTTGTTCTTTAATTTTTATGTACCTACGTAGGTACGTAAAAAACGCCCGAAGGTACTAATTAACTTTTTTCAGAACAGTCGTAGAAAATATAATCTTCAGTCGTTACGTGTTTAGCCCTAGGCTTTATAAGTCTAGGGCGGATTAGAAGTTAAAAAAAAAGAAATTTTGGGACTACATTTTCTTAAATTGTGAAAAAAATGTGTTCTATACCTAAGAAATAATCTATTATTGTGTAGTTGTCTATTTTATTAAATTAAAAATATTAATTAAGTACTTAGAATAAAAAAATCATTTATCATATATTTTCTTTTGTTTTTGCTAATAAAAATATACATATATGTACAAATCTCTATTTAGTCTTATAGGTAGATACACAGCATTGGTCCTGCAGTGAACAAAAAAAGTATCACATTGAAAAACCTAATATTAAAAGATAAATATGTAAATTAAAACTTGGATATGAACTATCCTAAAACGCTCAACCTTTCATATTAAAGAAAAACAAAATAACTTAAAATCAACTCGCTAGTCAAAGTGAAAGCCAACAACCTTATAATATGTTAGTAAGTTCGAACTAAACCTGAAGGTTCCCCCTTTCATAGCTCGAAGAGAACCCATTAATACTGAAACGGCTGAAAATATTTCACAAATATTGAAACCTGGTCTCAATTCGTGGTTTCATCAATGGAATATCAAAGAAGCGCATTTCAGAATCTCATATTTCAGCCGCTGAATGGATTCCGAGGTCTGAAATATGTTTTCAGCTACAAGATTACCTTGTATTTTCTATTCGGATGAAATTCTTTGAGAGACACAGATTTTACTGTAAGCTATTTGTCTGTGTGACTTCTCTTTTAAACTAAAACTTGAAAAGTGTGACCTCATAAAATGAGGTATTTAATAAATATCTGATAATAACTAATACTGCAAATACACATTTTTTACGCAAATTTGTGCATAATAATCAAACAGACTTTTTACAAAATTCTTAAATAAATTTGATATTGAATCATTCGATATGACTTGTGTGCCTCTTCTCACAAGGATAAGGTTTGAGCATTAATCACCACGTTTGCTCAATGCATATAAACTTAACTAGAAATAATAAATCCAGGTTTCCGATGTATCCGATGGTTCACCGTAACATAGTGGTGTCTAAATAACCATAGAAAGTACATATAACTCGAAAATGTCACATTGTTACATGCCACGTTTTGAACCCACACTTTCATGCCACCACGATACTACATTCTTTTTACATAAATAAATCAATTTCTTTTGTATAAAAAGCGTTGTCCTTAAAAATTTTCCAGTATCGTGGATGCATTTAAAATATATATATAACTCATCCAAACACAGAATAAAAATCTGTAGATTACTCAAAAAATCGTTTTGAACGGGAACCAAATCCGACATTGCACGGAAGCACACACAAATGGAACGAATTAGCTATGCAATCAACGGCCTGTATTTGATTAAATGACTGAATTTCTACTACTAGCACTTTTATAAAAATCCCTTCATCATTAAATAAATTAACATCTGAAATGAGAAACTCAGTTTTGAGGTTACCGGAGGCCCAATCCGTTCCCTTTCCCAAAATTTGTAAATCGTTAATCCCT